GGCCGGGGGTGCGGGTTACGTGGGCGGTTGTTGCGGGGGAGAAGGGCGGGGTGGGGAGGATTGCAAGGTTGGAGAGGGTCGCGGAGGCTATGAGGTCGAGGGGCATACCGATCTCGTGCGTATTTCTCGTCCTCCTGTGACATCTCGCTAATGGCTGGTTATAGAGCGGACAGCGAAGAACAAGAACCAGGCTCGTCCCCCTACGCCGGCCAAGACGCAGTAACAGAACGCTGGACATGCCACTGCGCGCACACCCCACTCCACTCTCAACTCGCGTCGGAGGAAAACGCGATGGACGTCGACGTCGACGCCGCGGCGTGCGGCGGGTACGTCTACGTCTCGTGCGGCTGGGACACGCACTCGCATCCGGCGCATCTCCGCGGGCAGCGCGTCACGGTCGTCGTCGTGCACGGGCAACCTGATCCTGCTCCTGCTCCTGTGGCTCAGGCGCAGGGTGAGGCTGAGCGTGAGGCGAACTTGAAAGTGGAGGGCGATGTGCCGATGCAGGATGTTGCGAGTGTTGCGGCGCCTGTTATGGTTGAGGCGCCTACGCCGGTCGTTGGCGATGCTTGATTCGAATTGCTGACCTCGAGAGATGTTTGAAGGACTGTTCTGCTCGCTCAAGCTCGTATACATACCCCACTGCCTCTCACTCTCGCTCTTTTCCTCTCATACACGACCGCAATTTGTGCATGGCTGTTTTTTATGTTCATTATAATCCCTTTGCTATAGATGTTTGACAAGCTGTCCGTTACGTGTTGACTTCGCGAGTTTGTTGGAGTGCAGCATGGTATCGCTAGGGCTGGATATTGGGCGCTGGCGTTTTCTCCATTGCGTACTACGATGTGCCCTTCCTCCGCCGGGACGGCGATTGACTCCGGTTCTTCTCCCCTTGCATCCGATGCAAACCTTCGGGGTCCAGTGGTGAGAGCGCCCTTCTGGCCCCACACGATAACGAACGCTCTATATCGACCCATCAATAACGAAGCTCGAGCCTCGGCAGTACGTACTATGGCCTCGTGTCGCTGGACTGTACTCACATTGCTTGCAGTCAGATCTTGAAGTCGTTCACTAGCCAGGAAATCATGCGCTGGCCAGCAATCGGGCAGGTCTACGGTTCTTTCTTGCGAGAAACCGGTGTGTTCAAGGTGGACAAGCACTGGGAAGACCCGCACATCCGCATCATTGAGCATGTATGTGGCGTCCCTCCCTATCATGACAGGAATACGCCCTCTGACAATGTACCCAGAACATCCGCATCATCGCCACATATACAGCCGAATCAAGCTGGACAGGTTATCAACGCTCCTGAACCTCCCCATCAAGGAGACGGAGGAGACGCTCTCTCGTCTCGTTGTATCCGCTACTATATGGGCACGCATTGATAGGCCAGCAGGCGTCGTCAACTCCCCCCTGCGAGGACCCCGAGGAGCCGAAGGCGAGCGTGTCACGGATGTGACGCGACGCGCTCGAAGCCGTTCAACCCGCCGCGGCGCGCTCAGACCTTGACCTCCACCACCACGGATGTCGAGCTGCCCTGCTCATGTGCCAAGCTCCATCATATATCACCGTGCTACTGTATTTCTAAGCTGGACTTTGAACTGAGGCTACCCGAAACTTGTGATTGAGCGTGCTTGCGATTGAATCAAATCTGATGCTAAAGCCCGCGATGCGTCGGGCTGACTCGTACCGGTCGCGCCATCCGTGCGACTGCTCGTACTCTTCTCGCTGATCAAGGGTAACACGAACCGAGCTATATACGCGTCGTACTGATAGTGTTGGCGTTGCAGCGGCGCTTCGTATCGACGCGTTACGCAATCACCCCCTGCGGCCCGGGCTTACTGAACATGGTCTTCCTCCCGCAAACGATCAAGGCGCTTCAGATCCAGGAGAACAAAACGGTCAAAGTAGTTTATATACCGTTTGCGACTCAGGAGAAGATCCAGAGGCTGCCGAAAGATGAAGTTCTGGTATGCACTTTTTTCCTTTGGCCCAGTTCCTATACCTAGATCTGAACGAGTGTACAGGTCCGCGTTCGCGCCGTCGGTCTCAACCCAGCCGATTGGAAACACGCTTTTGGTGCCCTAGGCACTCCCGGCGCTATCCTTGGCTGTGACGCTTCCGGTAATGTCGTCGGAGTAGGCTCAGCTGTCACACATCTCAAGCTCGGCGATCGTATATGCGGATTCAAGTGAGCCACTTCGCCTGGAAATGGCATCGTGCGTCGATTCTGACTTCTGTCACCAGCTATGGCGGGTCATGGCAAAAGGATAACGGCGCGTTCGCAGAATACGTGCGCCTGAAAGCGGCCGTATGCTTCGTCTTGCCATCCGAAATGGCATACGAAGAAGCCGCGGCGTTCTCGATCGCACACCTCACCAGCGTGCAAGCACTTTATATGCGCTTCTCGTTCCCCAAGCCTCTCTCACCCGAAGCCGACGAGTTCAAGAAGAATGGAGAGAAGATCTTGATTTGGGGCGCTAGCACGGCCGTGGGCCATCATGCTATTCAGCTTGCGAAGTTGTCTGGGTTGCAGGTGTTTGCTACTGCTTCGCCTGATGTGCATGACGAGATTAGGGCGCTCGGGGCGACGCATGTGTTTGACTATAGGGAAGTGGATATCGTCGCGAAGATCAAGGAGGCGGCGGGTCCGGAAGGAATCATCTACGCGTTTGACACGGTGGGCGAGAAGGGTAGCAACGAAGCCATTATCGTACGTGCGAATGCTTCCTCCACTACTTACGCTTATTCGAACATTCTTCTCAGGACGCGCTCTCACCCACACGCGGCGGCAAGGTCATCACCACAGTTCGCGTCTCAGACGCGATCAAGACACGTCGCAAAGATGTCCACGTCGAGCTAACACTCGTATTCACCGAACTGGGCTACGCGCTTGACTTTGCGAACATCATGCACTTCCCGGCTTCTCCCGAGGATAAAGCGCGTGCTCAGGTGTATTGCATCGAGGATGTCCATCGCGTGTTGGATGGGTGGAAAGCGGGTGTTGGCTCTCCGAACTTCAAGCCGCAGAGGCTGCGCGTGATCCCGGGTGGGCTTGAGGGTGTTGAGGTTGGGTTGAGGGTGTTGCAGAGTGGGAAGTATGGGAGGGAGAAGCTTGTGTCGCGCATCGCCTAGATACGTGTGAGAGCGATGGTTTCTTGAGCCCTACGTAGTGAGCCGCGTCGATAGCGACCACATTGCCAGAAGTTAGGATCATCTCCTTCCTGTTAGCTGTCAGAGAGCTGCTTCTGTACGTGCGAGTGCTCGATCGAGGTTACCCCGTATGCGGGCATCTTGATCCAATACGTAGGCAGATACGTGTATTGGGGCATCTGGCTGCCATGGCTGCGACAACCAGCCCACTCTGTCCTATTCAGGATACTATGGATGATGCTGGGATACTTAAGTGAATAAACCGATTTCGTGAAACAAAGTTGTTTCCATGATTCGGAGACGCAAGAATGCCTTCACCGAGATATACACATCGAGATGTATTCACTCAGACTTTGAAGAGACGCCGGAGTGAAAGCGACACTGGATTCGCCACTTCGTCGATCGTGATGGTGGTCGGGAACAAGTGTGGTTCCCGCGTAGCGGTGCATTCACGCGAATCGCGACCGCTGACGAGTTCCTCCGTATATGCGTCCTTGGCTCTGACCACCACCACCGCGCTTGCGCGACTCTTCACCATGGGCTCTTGCATATCCAGCCAGAGGCAGTTGGACCTATACGGGGACCGCACGTCTGATGGAACTTCTGGCGAGGCCGGCCCAATCTCGAGATTGCCCGATGACGTGCTCTACATGATCTTCACACACGCCGCCCAGGCAGAGCCCGTCCGCGGGATACACGATCTATCACAGCATATTGCTTTAATCGACAACCCCTCGTACTCCGAATGTATTGGGTGGATGCGTCTCTCGGCCGTCTGTCGACGCTGGCGCGCCGTACTCGTTTCTTCGGCCCAGCTGTGGGCTGATGTTGTGTTCCAACTTCCACCGGAGATCGCATCTCTCGCCCTTACTCGGTCGGCAAAGGCCCCCCTTGACATGCACATACCATTTGGAGAGAACTTTCAGACCACCTTGCGAAACAACTTGGTGAGCTCGAAGAACTGGGGCCTGCCTCATACCCACCGCACGCGGTTATTGAGCTTGGCGATAGCTCAGGCGTCTCGCATGCGCAAGCTGAACGCCCCGGACCTCACCGCCGAGAACTATCGCAGGCTCTTCTCACGCGGCAGGTTCGACGGCTTGCGCGTACTTGTGCTCAGGTGTAGCTACTACGATGGCGATTCAGATGCGCCCATCCCTACTCGCGAAGACGTTGGGCGGCTGTCCATCTCCGCACCGAACGTCTATCGGGCATACTTGTCGGCTGCTCTCCCAATAGCTCAGGGCGACGGTCCTGGTTTGGCCTTTTTGTTGCCAGGTCTTCGCGACCTGACAGTGTCCACGACGTTGAGCAGACCGAAAAGTGTCAATCAACTACGTTGGATTCCTCCCCTCATTCGAGGAGCACCGGGCTTGCAGCGCCTGAAGATGCACCTCCCCGTCGACTTCTTCGTCGATTGGAAGGAGCTGTGCGGCGATGAGAACTTCAATCTCCCGGCGCTGCATGCTGTGGAGTTGAATGGTTCGCTGAACGCTCACCTTGATGATCTCGTTCATAAACTCAGCACGTCCAGTCCACCGTCTGTCTTCTCGAGCTCGAGCGGTGACATGGATAGTGCGAACATACTTGAGTTTGTGAGAGTGTATGGCGAGATTGTAGCTCGATCGCTACGAACGCATCCGTTGGACACGATGTACATCTCGCGAGGCACTCGCAAGGACTTCCACGCTGCGTTCTCGTTGACAGCTTTCTCGAGCAAAGAAGTCCGTGCCCCTTATCATAACCTTGAGGAGCTCACGAAGGGCATCTACTCGCGCGCTCATCACGCCGCACGGATTTCTGCGTTCTTCTCCTTGCTTAACATGGGAGACGAGGACAGAGCGGGAGACGCCCTCGGCGTACTCGCTCCCCTTCTCGCGAAGAACTCGGTCAGGCATCTCATCCTTGATGAGCTTTCCACCGCACAGTGGGAGACAGCTGTCCCCGGACTTCTGCGAACTTGTTTGTCCAAAGTGACAACCTTGCATTGTGTCGACTCATGTGATCCTGTCGGCAAACAGCTCGACATGTATCCCTGTACCGCAGCTCTGCGTCGGCTCAAAGCCACCGATGTGCCCGAGGTTGAACGGGATGGGTCACCAAAAGGCGAGACACCACCGACCCCGCGTCCTGAATACCCTCTCCCCGCGTTGAAGACTGTTGTAGTCTCAATGATGTCCAAACCGGCAGAGAAATACTGGACAATAAAGGCCTACGCAGACGTTCGCGAGTGGTGGGACGAGTTGGTTAAGGGGTTAACTTATCGGCGTGATATCGGGTTACGCGTACGAACGTTGCGCATCGTCGGTGCCCTAGTACAGGAGAAGTGGAATAGTAGGATGGCGAAGGTGGATGCCAAGATGCTTGGGCGCATGACTGAGTACAAGCTCGTCGATGAAGTCATCGACGAGCGCACCTTCAATCCTCCAAACAGCGAGTCGTGATTTGGACCGCGATTATTCGATTAGTTACACCAGTCTGTATCGGGTGGCTTCGTGGCTTCTTTTATCTCGTGCGAGTCGATGTCTACTACTATACTTATTGCGAAAAACGATCTTTGTACAAACCGCAACGCTCTAGGATCAGTGTGGACCCGTGACAAGCAGCGCAGCCTGAGATAGAAGGATCCCAGCGCCCAACGATCACACTAAATATGATCTCGTTGTGGGAGGAGACCGGGTCTAACAAGCGCCTATCAGGATGGATTGTCGCTATGCCCTGGCCGAAGCATCGCCCAAGCCTGTCTCGTGGGAGGCAGAAGGACGTGGCGGGCGCTCTGCGTCTGGGTACTCACTTCGCGCATCAGACGCCACTCTGCGTATACAGCGATGAAGAGTTGCGTACATTGCTTCGCCTGTTGCAGGACGTATCCCCCCGTTCGCATCGTCCGCGATGCCATTCCCCGTTTCGCTCCCGGTAACTCCGCCCTGTACGACCTGGCCTTGCGAGCGGGCATCATTGATGAAGCTCGGGTGTGTGCTATTATCTCCGGTCAGTCAGACTTCTGCTGCAGACAATAAAGCGACGTACTCAAGCCCCAGCGACATTGAGTTCTGAGGAGGCATTTCGCCAAATTCCATGTCCCCTAACGATGAACGCGCCCTACGTGCACGAGGAGTCGGCTTCCAACCGAACCAGCCGCCGACTTTACAGATGATGTGCCAGTACGATGCTCGAGCCTCTGGTGTGACGCCGAAGAGCCCGAAGATAGCGAATGCAAGGACCGGCGATGTCCAACGAGTGAAATATATATTTGCTACGTTGAAAGTCCCGTCGGAGACCATCTCTGCATAGGAATAGCTCTCCGGTTGCCAGCCCGGGCCTGTATGGTCGTAGGTCCAACCGAAGTAGAAGGGGATAGGCCCAAGAGCCAGAGAGTCTTCCACAGCCAAGACGACAGTCGCAATGCCTACGGGCATTGTGAGAAGAATATCGATGCTCGCAAGGGCAAGGACACGGAAGTAGTTTGTGCGAGACACCGAAGTATTGCTTTGTAGGAAATGGTTGACCTCTCGACTCTGGCGATAGAAGATCCGAAATGTTTGAGCTGTAGTATGTGGCGTGAGCATCACGGGATCAAGGGGTGATGAATATGACACACGATAGTAGACTGTGATGGATACCAAGGGCAATATCAAATTCCACGAATTGATAAGCAAGATGCTGAGAATCGAGCCGTCAATCGAGTTTAAGCAGCCAAACCCCTCTTCAACGGCAAATCTGGAGTACTGGACCACGTAGTCTTGAGGCGGATTGAGCGCGCATGATTACTACCAAGCCATGGGCGTACGCACAGAGAGGTCCTCCGACGAGGAGGGGAATTCCCAGGCCGAGCATCCACTCTGTTGCAATATCTCTGCGTCTCTGTGGCTACACTCAGTACCAGGGCGATAGTTTTTGCACTGCGACTCACCGCAGCTTGTTTAGGAGATTCGATGGATCGGAGACTGGTGATCAAATATAATCGGCGAGTGATCACCAGGGTGGCCATGGGTTTGGCAACCGATGTAATCATCTGTACGTGTGAGACTGGGATAAATGGTTAGTGACTGAGTCTGCGCGGACTGAGTAGTCCCATTGGACATATACCGACCAATATCACAATACACGTACAACTTGATGTCGGCATTATTAGACCATATGACAGCATCGATACCACCGGTTAGGTTCTCCAAGAACAGCCAGAAACATAGCAAAGCGACACCGAGGTTCCAGCTTTGACGTATGAAGTTGGTCAAAAGTACTAGGAACAGCATTGCTGCAGTCAAGATGCAAGCAATGGGGTAGAGGGGGTACGTCGGGTCGGCGGCCATGGCACAGTGCGAGATAGGCTAGTGGTCCCTTCAAGTGATGACCGTGGCCATATATACCATCCCTAGTAGAAAATAGTGCAGGTCCCGTATTGGGAGGGACATCGGATACGTGGCGGGCCATGACAGGCAACGCATGTGGACGTCTTGTCGGTAGTCATGAATTGCGACGTTGGCCTCGTAGGCCTGACACACTTCTTAGGAAGATAGGCTCCATGAATGAATGAGCATTGCACGGTCCTCGATGTCAGCCTCATGTCAAGGCGCTCCAATAATGAACGACGCGCATGGCTGCGATTGATTCGAAACACTCGGGGTCACCGCATTCGTTTCATAGCTGAACTTCTACTATTTGAGAAGGCTAGGGGTTGCTATTCAGCCTGAGCTTTGAAAGAGCATTGGTGCGCTTCGCATGATTAGCTACT